AATCCATATTTCGTAACGCCATAAATTCAATTCGGCAATTCCGACGGCGCCTATAAAAATCCCTTGCCATACACAGCCTATGATTCCCTATTTACCACAAAATTCTAAATTAATGCTAATAACCATTCTAGACTTTATATAACAGCTTAGCAGAAAGGTATCTGATTTTCATAATTTTAATAGCCAGGCCCGCGTAAAACGCGGGCATCCAGCTAGTTTGTAATAAAATTTGTTTTATGTAACATTTTTGAAACAAATGAAAATTTGCCATATAAACAAAGTAAGTTACCTTAATTTAACTGGATGTATAACTTGTATTAACTTGGTATTTTAAATAGTTGTTGACTATCATTTTAACTATTTACGGGTCAGGTGTGTTGAGCTATTTGTTTTAACGAAATAATTACGTATTTATGTATTTTTTTTAAAAAAATTGGTAAATACTAGGATTACGAATTATATGTATATTTACATAGTAATTATGTTAATTACCAGGCCATGTATACTCCTATATACTGTACGTTCTACTGTTAAGATTCCTAGTTTAGGAGTAACTTATCTATTTTGATTTTTAAGTAATAATTGAAAAGATTTACATTTAGTAAATACCACTCCACAGTCAACAGCACCGCCAAACAGTACATTTACCGAACCATCTTCATTATATATAATTTGATTTTCATAAGTTTCCATATCAGATATTATAGCAATTAACATAGTACCTGAAATATATAAGAAGGTTAGAGGCAGCCAAAAAGATTTTACGAGCGAGCTCCTGATTAGTGCATCTTATGGATAAAATTTTTATATAAAAATAATTATGATACTCTATCCCATCTATCCAAACACACATTTACTTTTTTTAATTAAAGTTTTTCCGGAAAAGCGTTGTGTCACGCAAATCAGTAATCCATCCATTTATTTATTTGGGATATACAGTCTAATCCCATTATTAGACTGCAAAATTATTATAGTTTTATCATTTGCAATATAAAATGACTCCTTATAATTTGTAAAAGGAAAAAACCTGCCTTATTGTTCTAATGCATTGCCGCCTTTCATGATTCAAGCTCTAAGTAAGCTTTATCAACTGAAACAAACGCCTCCTTTATAATTTCTTTTATATTTAAAGAAATTATACAAAGTAATATGATAATGTTTCGATAGTAAATTCCAAATTACGTATTAGTTAAAATATGGTTAAATTTCCTATTTGATCAATCGAAAAACTTTTCCACGAAAAGCTTTTTAATAGTGAAATGAATGATAAAAACTAATATCGTAGATACGTAGATAACTCAGTAAAATTTATTTCTTTAATGCATGGTTCGGTATAAATATAAAATTTTTTTTTTTATAAAGCATTTTTTTATATCTATATCTACATTCTGTTTGCTACTAGTATAAAAAACAAAATCATAATAGATGCTTTGGCGTAAAAAAAAAATATTAGAGGTAATGCAATCTTTATAATCAACATCTTAGCACAAATTGGTGAATTTACAAAGTTAGCCATATGGTACTAATTAAAATTTACGGATTTATTTGGTTATAAATCCTTTTATTGTGCCTAGTAATCATCATTTTGGCTACTATAAACTTATATTTTTGCATTATATGGCCTTCTATTTAAAGGTTTACACAAAGATGAATATTATAATGTTTCAATAGAAAGTTTCAAATTACGTAGTAGTTTAAATAGAGTTCATGAGACGCTTAATTTCCTATTTGATCAATTGAAAAACTTTTTTTCACGAATAGAAGCGTTTGATCATGAGATAAATGATAAAAGCTAATATCAAAAAAAAAATTAAAATTTTGCAATGATACGTACGTACGACCATTAGATAACTCGGTCATTAGCGTTAAATCAAAGAAAGTTCTATGCAAATTCGGAGTAAACCGATTTTCGCCGATCACGAATATGAATGCTTATCACATGTAATCATAATTCGTTGAAAATTTTTTTCATATATAGTATTGGTAACAATGTCGTGAACAAATTACATGATGATAATAAATTATTAACTTCTTTAAAGGTTACGAATATAGCAAATGATACAGCATTACATTAATATTAAGAATTATTAATATTCATTGTGTACGAGTAAAATAAATGCAAAAATTTTGGTTATATAATCAATTTATAATCGTAATTATGTATAAAGATAACAAATTAAATAATAACACATCGATAAATTTTATTTCTTTACTGTAATTTTGACTATTTTAATCTGCCTCTTTCATATTTGCATGCCTTAACTGCAGCTCCAATTATGTAATATTTATAAAGCTAAAGGTAACATGATTATTCATATGATTAGCAAGCTATTTTCATACACCCTATAAAAAATATTTTGGAAAAATCTCCGATTAATGATCATTTTTCTGGTTTTTACTCCAGAAAACTCAGACATGTGTTCAATTTTCTAAAAAATTTTTTATAGGGACAGTAATTCTTGGTAATAATAATGTACCCCTCAATTTTAATTTTTCCTTAACAATTTGCCAAGGATTAAGTCTTCTGGACTAAGAACACTACCATAACGGATATTTCCTCAAATTTTTCGAATACAAGATCTGATCAGTTGATGAATTAACAATGTTCATTATAATTTTTAAGATATTGAAATTTGTAAATAAGAAATTAGAAATTACAAACTAAACAAGAAACTGCACATATTTAAAACTACTGAAATAATTAAGATTTCAATAACATTTAAACATGAATTACAATTTTGATTATCTTAAATTTAGTTTATATTAGTATATCAGATATTAATATATTGAATCATTTTTTTCTCTTTTAAAATAATATTAGAAATCTATTTTTACAAATCAATTAAGTTGATAACTATCACTTTCTTTGAAATAGATACATTACTTGAAACATCATTCGCTCATCATACCTAATCAATAACCTTTTTTCAAATTATTTTTTTCATGTTATTTTTCTATACTCATTCTTAAAAAATACACTAATCAAAATAATAAAACTTATGAATTATGTTACTTCACAAATGATTTTAATATTTAAATATCTAAGCCCTATAAAAAATTCTTCGGAAAAATGATCACGTGTCTGAGTTTCTTTGGAATAAAAACTAGAAAAATGATCACTTATTGGAGTTTTTCCAGAATGTTTTTATAGGGAAGATTTGTAGCGTAAACAAACAAATCAAGATCGACCAAGGTAACACATTATATCTATGTGTATCGAGTGGGTCAGTTTATATGGGATGGATAATTCTTTAAAGTATGCAGCACTCCGCTATTAGGCTTTGTTATTTTTTAATAAGATGAACATAATAATATTTCATGAACAAACTTTCGACTCGAATGATTATCACATTATCACTATTATACAAAAGATTTTGTACGGTTTCCACACAAAAGTCTAATGTAAAAAAAGTACACACAATACTGACAATAGTCATTTATAAAAATTTTTATTTATTGTTTTTTATTTTTTTTTTCAACAACATCCACTGTAATGTCAACTTAAAGGCAATTGTTAAATTTTTAGGCGTATGGGGTTACCATGCATGAATGAATATGCCATACACAGGGTCAGACGGAGGTACAAACCACATTATGTTTCATATAGAGATTACCTAATTCAATAACGATCAACGATTTTTATATTAAAAGTAAAGTGTCCATAATAATAAAGAAAATAATCATATTATTTCTATAAAATATATTTAACATTCGAATTTTGAAGTCGCTTAAAAATACTTTTTCTATTGATTTAGACATTAATTGAACAATAATAAATAAATAAAATTTTTAAAGTAAACAAGTAGATATAAAGAAAAACAACGCCAATTTTCTTATTTCTTAATTGGCCCTATAATAAACAATAGACCCTGGATCGGTCAGATCGCCCTAAATATTTGGATTTTCTTACTCATACATGTACTTATACGAAACTTTCCGGGAACTTTCCGGAACTTTACGAAAAAGTAATATAAAAAAAAATTTCATTAATTTAAAATTTTTGAAAATTTCCTTTTATCATTCTAAAAAAATTTTTTGTAGTTTTTCTTGATCAATGCTTTTAAAGCGAAGTTAGCTTTTATAAGCTATGACTTTTTTTATAATGGACTTTAATCATGAAGAGAACAATCAGAATTAAAACTAGCCATTGTGTTCTTGGAACGTGTAGCTTATTTTGTTTTAATTAATATACGCAAGGTTAATATAAAATTATAATTTAACGTTTGTACAACGTACTTATTCATAATCTTTGCTATTTCAATTGTATTTTTGCAAGTGCATAATAACTTAGAGTAGGTATAAGTAAACATAAAAGCTCATGATTTTACATATTATTAACATTTAAAACTAAAATCTCAAAAATGATTTTGAATAATCTATATTATTATAAATTTATTTATGTTATCTTAAATAATACTGTAATATATTATTTAATAGAACATAATAATATATTCGTAAATATGATGTTGAGACTTGTACGGTAAACTAATTCTATTTTTATATTGAAAGAAAGACTCTTTTCATATATACTAATTAATGGTCTTTCATTTTTCTTTCTTTTGTGCATGTATCACACTTTATGTAACAATATCCTTTTAGAAAAAAGAAAAAATAATTTTTTTTATTATAACTTAATATATAGCTTTAATAACTTTAAAAATAATTTAACGTCTTTATGAATAGTTATCATAATTGTTTATTTTTTCTCTCACTTGTTCTGAGGCCAAAATAGGTATTTCCAGGACAAAATTTCAACAATCAAATTTAGATGGGCATTTACTTTATTTGATGGTACACATAAATCTGAGTTAGCACTGAGTTAAAGATGATCATTTTTTTTTTTATTTAAACCCACAAAAATCGTCCATCAATTATCATTTTTTAACATTTCGTTAAACTTTCTTATAAAATTAATTAATATGAATCCTTCACAAGACAATATTGGTAACAGCACTCACATAACCAATTTAACTGGGTTCATTAATGATAACTGCAACAGGTTACCACAAGCAACTGCTGAAACTATTCAAGCGGAAAATATTAACTGTGACGATCCTTTTTGTAATTGCAATAATGATGACACTTCCGTGGTGAATAATAATTTTCCTGCAAATACGACCATTCCTCTTTATCATAATCAATCTATATCTCACAGCACTTCAAAAAATAACGATATTATTTCTCCTGGCAATGCTAATTATCATCAGCAACAAATTTTCAATGATGTTTCAAACAATAATATAAATATCTCTCCTAATAACAAATATCAGCAATCCATCTCTAACAATACTTCCCCTCCGCAAATTCACTCGCAATACATTGATCAAAATCCACTTCAAACTAATGCCTTTCCTTCACTTAATTCACTTGGTATTGTTATAAATTCTCCTCAAACGTACATTGTTATTATGCCAGCACCGGTGACTAGTAATCCAAACAGTCAACAAGATAGTAGTTATCCGAATCATTCTATCCGTCAATAATAATTTGCAACTAAATTAAACAATAGAAATTAAGAATATTGAGGATTCATTCATTATTTTTTATTTTACTTTTATTTTTGTATTGTTTTATTTCTTTATTCGTTTAATAATAGAAGAATAATCATGGAAAGAGAGTATATTGTATCTACTAGTAACCAGAACATTTAAATAAAATATTTATCAAAATCATGTTAATATACTGTACGTTTTTTATTTCTTGATTATTTATTGTTTACAGGTTTACAATGAAACTATCATGTTTATACTTTCATTATAATTGTCAATAGTTTCGTTATGAATGCTGGATTTAAATAAAATGTCTATTGTGCCAGCAAAGTATTCGGAAGATTGTAAATACCAATAATTGCATTGGTCGACTACTGTTCAGTTAAAGTGAATTTTATAATAAAGATACATAAAATAAAGTAGTAGTGAGAGGTGAATATTTTACCTTTTATTAATGATTTAAATTGTCTGGAAAATAAAATCATATGAGTTTGGAAAATTTTCGAAAAAAAAAGAAAAAAAATATTGTTTAGCTTTTTTTATATAAAGGCAAATGAGGTTCAATAACGATAAATCTTTTGAAACTAATACCCAAAGAGCGCGATAATTTCGGCTACCGTAAATTATTTAATATGGTAACTATTTATCATACTTATTTTGTGTAACGGACATTTCTGATATCCCTTAATTTTTCATAGAAAGGGTCATATTGCTTTTGCTAATGGTTAGTTTCAATTTCGATTATTCATTCTGTGATGAGGGTACTCTAATTAAAGGAATTTCGGCTATAACAAAAAAGGAATTTTATCAAGAAAATAAGTTTCACATTGAGGAATAATTAGAAACGGAAAGGATGCAATTTTGAAAAATTGGCGTTTTTCCTTCTTTTATCGGAAGTTTTCTTTTTTAGATAGTCGATTTATACATGAAAAAATTGAGCTTCAAAAATTGATGATTATTTCCTAGTTTGGTAAATTTTTTAAATTTTAAAAATATTCTATATATATCTGATATTATTATTGGCGACCTAATATCTCTTATCTGCGATCACGATCATACAGATAAACAGCTTACAAATAATCTCCGAAGCAGTTTAGATAACTATGCAATTGATGTTCCACGTACTTCAATTAGATTTACTTATTCATAAATTGTATGTATGACAAGAATATATCGACCGGATATCTGTCAATTTTATAAGAAAATTCTTGGTTTTAATATTTATATAAAAAAAAATTAGGGAATAAAATGTTTCTAAGTCCGTCGGAGCTTTTTATTATTCTGAAAGTCAATATTCAAACAACAATATTAAATGGTTAGCACATAAATAATTTCATTTATGGGAGAGATTCAATGAAAAATGAACAATAAAATAGAACAACAATTGTCTTTAATTGATCAAGATTAAAAAGACGAATTCGTCATCACATTAATTGGGAAATTTTTACGTGTTCCGTTACTTCCGTATGTAAATTTCCTTCTTAGTAAGCAATATATACGCAATTTAGGGCGCAACTTTGCAGTTTCAATGTTTAATGAAAAACAAAGAAATATTTAAGCTTTACGTACATCACACGAACTATTCTAGCAAGTGTTATTGGTGTGACTATTGATATATACTGATTATACTGATAATCCTGCTTTGATCTTCCTTTCTTTCCTTTTTTTTTCTTATTTTGTCGCTCTCTTTTTAAAACTTTTTTTTTCTTTATTTGTTACCCTCTTTTTTTTTTTATTCCCACCCACTACCACTCCTTTCTTTTTTAAAAATTTATTTTTTTCTTTTTATTTTCTAACTTCATCATCCCTCCCTCTTAAAAAATTGTTTTTTGATTTTATTTTTTCTTTTTTTTAAAAAAATTTCTTTTCATTTTCTCCCCATTTTTATAAAAAATTTTTTTTTTGTTTTTCTAACTTTATTCATCGTTCTCCTTTTCCTAACTTTGTCACCCCTCTTTTTTAAATAAATTTTTTTTTTGAGTTTATTCTTTCATTCCTCACTCAATACCTTCTTTTTCCAATTTTGGTTAAAATTTTTTTATTCCCTTTTTTTAGGTTTTTAAAATTCTTTTATTTTATATTTTGTTCTTTTTTTTTGTCTTATAGGTTGAATATATTTTTTTGTCGGTTGGTGCGAGTTCTTCTTCATGGGTCAGTTCTTTTAACATGAGTCAATTCTTTTTATGTAGATCAATTCTTTTTTCATGGGTTGTTTCATTTTCGTGGGTCGTTTCTTTTTTGTGGTTGTTCTCAATTCTTTCTACGTGGTTTGTTTCTTTTCGTGGGTCAATTCTTTTTCGTGGGTTAATTTTTTTTCATGGGTTGTTTCTTTTTGTAGATTGTTTCTTTATTGGAATGCTTCAGGATTTTTTCTTTATTGTAGGTCTTTCTGTTACATGACTAATTAAATGCCAACTCTTCAGGGGAAGTTTGACTTCTAATTGAGTTAAAGAAACATTCTTATGTTTCTTTTTTTTTGTTTTCCAGGTCGTTAGATTGTAGAAGACTTAGATGAATCTAGAATTATAGATAGATAGGAGAAGTGGGTTTATCTACTAGGAAATTCAAAGTTTTCTTTTGTTTTAGTTTGCAAGAACTTTTCATAATATAATTGTATTTTATTTTATTCCCATATTTATTTATTTAATAAATATTATTTTTAAATTAATTTTTATAATACAGTACACCCTTACTATAGCGAATTTTTTTATAGCGAATAACTTACTATAACGAAGAAAAGTACGGGTACATATTTTTTAATAATTAAAAATTCTTATTATACCGAATTTTAAAGTAAAAATTCTCTAACTCGTAATACGAATTTAAATGTTAAGACAATTATAATAAAATGACCCTTCATATAGCGAAGAATTTTGCTATACCGAATTTTTAAAATGTTACACAATAATTTAGCGAATTTTTGATCACATGAAATTTTATTTGAACAATTTGAACAATTCGATTTTGCCTTTAAAGGTTAGAATTTTTGTGATTAAAGTTAAAAAGGAAAATTATCATAAACAAGATCATGATTTATTTTTATTATAATACGGCAAATATAACCTTGATCAGTTAGTTCTTTTTTTTACACGTCACTATGCCCAAAACTAAAAGTGCACTAAATAAATATTCCCAAGCCAAAGGTAAAGATAAAATGAGAACTTTACCGAAAAGAGCATCTTTAACTATTGCCCAAAAGCATGAAATATGTTTTAAAAAAATCAACGAACCTTATATAAAAAATAAAGAACTTGCGGAACTATATAATGTTAGTGAAGGATGCATTAGTGATACGTTAAAAAAATCACAAAAATGGCTTGAAATTGACCCTCAAGCACCCGAAGCCCAAGGGAAAAGACAAAATAAGTTGAATTTTCCAGAAATTGAAGAAGCTCTTACATTATGGGTATTGAAGGCTCTAGAAAATGGTGTTGATATTAGTGATCAGGTTTTACATGAAAAAGCTATAGCATTTGCTTCTCTATATAAAGTTGAAAATTTTAAAGGAAGTAATGGTTGGATTGGTGGATTTAAAAAAAGACATAATCTTTCTTGCTATTTAAAACAAGGAGAAGCTGCAAGCGCACCTCTTGATAAACTTGATGAATTCAGAAAAAACCTTCAAGATTTGATTCGTAATTATAGTCTTGAAGATGTTTTCAATTGTGATGAAACTGGTTTGTATTGGAAAATGGAACCCAAAAGGACGATCTCCAATAAACCTGTATCTGGAAAAAAACAATCTAAAGATCGGGTAACAATTCTCCTTTGTTCTAATGCAACTGGTACTGAAAAGCTCAAACCAGTATTCATTCACAAATATAAAAATCCTCGTCCTTTAAAGAATTTATCCAAAACATCTTTACCAGTAGAATATTATTGGAATTCAACAGCTTGGATGCAAGTTTCTATTTGGAATGATTGGATTCGTAAGTTTGATGCACAAATGAGATTAAAAGGAAGAAATATTCTTCTTCTTATAGACAATGCTCCTGTCCATGCTTTATATGAAGGTGTGGAATTGACCAATATAAAAATTGAATTTTTGCCTCCTAACACAACTGCACACTTACAACCATGCGACAAGGGTATTATAAATAGCTTTAAGGTACTAAAATTTCAATATAATTTTAATAATTAAGAAATTCTAACTTACAATATTTGATTTTGCAGGCACAATATCGAAAATTGCTCCTTCAAAATCGTATCAAGGCTTTTGACTTTCAACAATTAACAGGAAATAGTAAATCTCCAATCAATATCAAAAAAGCTATTAAATATGTTGTGTCAGCCTGGAATAAAGTTCTTCCTAAAACTATATTTAACTGCTGGAATAAAACGGGAATTTTGCCAGATGATACGAATTCTTATAACGAAATTGAAGAGAATACGCATAATGAGACAGAAGAAAATGAATATAGAGAAATTCAAGATTTAATCAATAAGCTTGAGTATACACACCCTCTTACTGCTGAAGAATACATTAGATTAGACCAGGAGAATGAAAATGCCGGTATACCCCCATCTGAAGAGCAGATCGTTGCTATTCTTAAAGAAAATAATACTATGTCTGATGATGAAGGTGATAAAGATATTATTTCAGTAACGAGTTCTGAGGCCTTAATTGCATTTGATACAATTTTTAACTATGTAGAGCAAAATGATAGTCAAGATATTTTTGATAAAAGTGCATTAAAGGTAATGAAAAAAATTAGAAAAATTGTTTATAGAAATAATTTTTTTTCTAAAAAACAATCAAGTTTAGATTTATTCGTTACAGATAAAGGTAGTAAACTCAAGCCAAATAACACTGCTATTGATCCAGTTGATAATAATACTATGAACAGGGAAAGGGAAGGCGATAATAATATTATTGATATTGAAAATTTTGATTTTGAAGCTTTGTATTTTAATGAGTTTGATTTTTATAATTATGAAGAAGACCAAGGTTTTATTGAATATCAAATCGATGAGAATAGTCTTTATAAATGATG